AATATTTTGGAGCGGTGACACCACCTCACTGATTTTAAATGAAACACCCTGTATTGAATTCTACGGCAGGTTCTAAACATATTTAGCGGACAAGTTTCTATACCTAAATTTAACCGTTTTTCATGTATCTCAAACTAAGAAACACAAATGCAGGCAGATAATTCTATTAACTGTTCGTATGTTTGCCTTTGCCATAGGATCTGTAAGAGTTTTCCTGTAGCAGGAAACCTGCTTTTGTCGACCTTACGTATATGTACAGAGTGATCAAAAAAGAGCACGGACATTAGCGTCATATCCTTAGAAGTTGACCGGCACGGGTATTACGTATCTTGAAAAGTGACATTTCGTCGTTCTTTTTTGACATTTCGTTGGCTTTTTTGGATATTTCATAGGTTTTTCTGCACGATGTTAACTTAGCACAAGCTGTTGTACTTTTGTTGTGAACATCGATCACAGCAAGCAAACGCACACTAAGAACTACCTAGCGAAACATGTGTTGGGTATTAATATACCGGCTCGATAAAATTATGTAGTAGTCACTGTTCTGTAGTGCATAGATAAAAGCTATAAATTTGCATTTTCTATGAGTCCAAGCATAATGCACTGACATTTTAGATGCTATTGTGTAACTATGTATTGAAACAACGGACAATTTCAGTTACGATTGAATATAAAACAAAACAATGATATCTCGAATGATGGAACAATAACTGCGTTTTAGTAAGCCTCACTTTTTTGTATATTGACCCTAAAAACGAATTTGATACAGCAATTAACAAACGAGGATCAGAAAATAGCAATAAAAATAAAAGAACAGCGACTGAGTGTATGGGCAGAGAGAGGGAATCGCAGAACTTACACGGACAAAATATCATAGAATAAAACAACTATTGATTTTGGTCAGGGACTAAAGTACTCTTGGGTTTCGGATTCTGACTGAGTCTCTTTTGAACAAACCGAAGAGCAGCCGACACACGTTAACTGAGTCCATTGTTCCAATGTTAATACTTGAATGGTTCAACAGAAAAATTTCTAACTTTGCTGGGTCTATGATTGTCCAAGGTCGCTTTGGTTTTATCCCGTGATTATATTTCTGGTGTGTCGCGTTTTTTCTGGCCAATTATTCAGTTTCTGTTACAGTTGTTAATAGTTGAGAAGACAAGGCAATGCGTCCCTCTAATGACCCAACAATGCTAACTGCACTTTAGTAAACCTACGAAGGTACAATTGGCTTCTTCGGAAAAGCCGTTTACCCTGTTGGTCAGTCATTTACCTACGTTTGGCCAACAGAGTCTCAGAAGTTTCAAATTTAAGGGTATTTCCAGACTTAAGTAAATCCGTTGATTAATCCAAGATTTGAACTAACCCTGGTAAGCTTGACCAAATTCCAGTTTTTTTTGTTGAAGAGACATATTCATCAAATCACTCTTATGTCACTGGTGAATCGAACCGTTTTGATCTCAAAAGTTTGAGACACAGTGGATACACCATGTCCTGGAGGTTGAGAAGGTCCCTGATGAAGTTTGAAATAAAAATGTCATTTGCAGCGAAAACGTGAAAAAGAAATCGAAGAAAATAGTACTCTCTATTCATTTGGTAAGACATTTCAGGTACTGCCACACGTTGCTCATAATACTGCTTAAGTTGTCGCCGTTCGATTCACGATTCGAACACACCTTTGTAAAATTTTTAGTAAAGCAACATAAGCTAACATCATATCGATAGCTCTGTTATAGCTATAGCAATCCGCCAACTTCTGTTTTTTCAAATCCGATTTGTTACGCTGACCTACACACCACGCGGCACTGGTTTGGATACTCATGGATATGGTACACCTTTTTACGTAGGTTGCAGGGCCGGGCTGGCACATACAGATTTTTGCGGAACTTAAAACTATGGTAATTTTAAAGCGTATGTTGATTGGAAGTTTCCTTATTGTCCTAAACGCTCTGTAGAGGGAAGTCACAACTTTAAGGACACCTTGTATAATCTGAAGCGTCTATACACCCCACACTGTTTCAACATCAGCTCGGCCATTTCACATCTGAAAGAACACCAAATTGCCACCAACATAGCAAAGCGATCGGTTACAGGAATGGCGAATGAAGAATTTGTTACGTAATTAAAGTTTTAATGGTTTCTCCTGAGCTTTAAGTTTTTGTCTTCAAAACAAACATTACTTGGATACTTTAATCAGAAAAGTTAGTCATCGTCGGTCCTCGGTGAGGACCTGGAAAGTTGCGTTTGTAGACAACGGGGACTATTAAAAAAAGTTTAATTGATACTCAAGGCGGTCGCGTTCGCTGTGGTTGTTAATAAATTCCATCAGGCTGTATAATAGGAAAACTTCCGTAGTTTTTTCAGTCACATATTGACTAAATATTTAACGATTACCTTTAGTAGCTGTCCTCACATAACAGGCAGCAACTGCATAATACACTGGCTCATTGTTCACTATACTATATGCTATACAAGGTGCTTTCCAGGTCATGCACAGAGGGAGTTTTCTGGATCATTCGTTGGAAGGATTGAAAACAATTAATACCTTAGGAAAAAGTATGTAGCTGGAGTATGAGCATAATCCCTATGAACGATTCATGCTCAAGTAGCTGCTTCCGAATTGAAAATTTTTATGAAAATCGAATACGATCACATTCATAGCACTTGTCTACGTCAATGCCGAAGACTTATTCAAGCTGTTCAATTTTCATTCTATAAGTGAATCAAGTACATAGTATGAGTATATAAATGTGTATAATTGTTTTCTTTCTACATACCTGCAGCCAAATAACCATGGCCTAGGAAAAATCACAGCAAAGTATTTTTATATCCTAGACCTAGATAGTTCGGGGTGTATTGGCTATCCACGCTGACGTGCCAGGACGAAACGATTCGGGCAGGAGAGACTCTCAACGTTAAAAGGGGAGATGTAAAGATATTTCTATGAAATATGTAACTGTATTATCAGAAATATCGTGGAAAAGGAGCCGCTACAATATTTTTATCTTTACTACCGGGTGCGCCATCTTTTATGTCGGTATTGAAATATCGAATGATTGTGTTTCTGAAACGTCAGTTTACTACAATTTTAGTCATGAATTGCTTTAAACCGAAACAACGCGCCGAAATAGTCACGATGTACATTGAAAATCGTCGTTCAGTTGTGTTAACGCAACGTGCATATCGTCGAAAATATCGTGGCAAACAGGCACCGTCTGACAACACTATCCGTCGTTTGGTTTCGAATTTTGTTGAGTACGGGACAGTGGGAGATCGTCAACATACCGTTCATCAACGACCAAGACGTTCCAATGTATTGGTTGAAGCGGTCAGAGACAGAGTTGCCCAGAACCCAAAAATGTCGTATCGTCACCGCGCTCAGCATTTTGGCATCAGTGGAATCACGTTGCGGCGCATTTTGGAGGATGATTTGTATTTGTTTCCTTAAGGTTCGGGTACATTAGCAATAATATTGCGACATTTATTGCGAGAATGGATGTCTACGCCTGTGTAAACATGACTGAGACCAAAGTTGCCAGACCACTTTTGTTTTCGACTGGTGATCTCGGCAAGTAAACACGTTGTTAATGTAAACATCTTGCAGTGCGTTCTCACAGAGACAGATTTTATTCAAAACGTGTTTGTTTTTGCGAGAGCTGTGTGTATTGCATTTCAAAAATGGCACAGAAAAAGACCTGGTCAAAGGACGAGACATTTTCTTTAATTACGGAACGGGAGTTGTACCCAGAATCATGGGATATTATAAGCATAAATTATAGGAATAGGATTAAAAAACAAAATGCGTTGAAGGAATTAGCTGGAAAATTTGAAACAGCCGAAAGTGAAATTTCCAGTAAATTACACAATCTGAGAACTGAGAAATAAGAAGACTGAAAACAAAGAAAAGCGGTGATGGAGTTGACGATGCGTATGAGATTACTTGGGAGTTTTTTAATTCATTGAAGTTTATTAATTGTGATCATTCGGAGTCAAAACCTGTTGACAATTTGGTAAGTATTATTTTGTATTTATTTAAAAAATAATAGGTTAGTTATTAACAATGTTTAAGTATTCTTATATATTAGGTACAGTATGTTTAAATGAAATCTAGTATTCTAAATATGCGTATATTGCCAATGTGCTTCTCCCTCTGGTTAAACAAAGTAATCCCTGAATTCATCCCTGACATCTTCGGAATTGACACCAAAATTATGTGCTGCTCCATAGTCTAACCCTAATAAGTTTGATTGTGGCATTCCAACCCTGCGCCATGCGGCATCCTGTTCATCCGTATCGAAGGTACCTCCTTGTGCATAAAATTTACTTTTTCGACTCATTAGAAAGAAGTGCGTTACGACACATATTGCTGATACAACACAAGTACTTTTTCTGGTCCAAGTTCTGTAGGCTTTCGTAGAATACGAAAGCGGTTAGCAATAAGTCCGAATACGTTTCCTATTACTCTTCTCGCCCTTGAAAGTCTGTAACTAAACACCCGGTTAGGTGCTGGTTGTCCTCTGAATGGGTATGGTTTTAATAAATAGGGTTTCATAGCGAATGTATCATCTGCTACTATTACATAGGGTACAGGCTTCTCGCGTCCCGGTAAAGGTTTTGCAGGCGGAAAGTTAAGCGTATTATTTGCTAAGGCAACTGATAAAATACAGTTATTGAATACTCCCCCATCTGATACCCGTCCATTGTATCCTATGTCAACATACAAAAATATATGTGTGGCATCAGCCAATGCCATAAGTACGATACTGTTATACCCTTTATAGTTACAGAAAAAACTTCGGCTATTAGGTGGTGCCTTTATAGTTATATGCTTTCCGTCTAGGGCTCCCCCACAGTGTGAAAAATTCCATAGGTCTTCAAATAATTTTGAATGTTGTAGCCACTCTTGGAGTCTGAAAATAAAAACCCACGTGTATTTATTTTAGGAACAACAGACGGAAACGTAAGCGGAAGGATATGATAATTCGAATAATGCTGAAGAAATGGACAATGTTGTCAAAAATATACAGCCAGAGAAAAAGAAAAAGCGAGAACAGTGTAAGAAAAATGAAATAGAGCAAGATGTTCTATTGAAAAAGGCAGCTACTTTAATGACTAAACCTACAGATGAGTTCCAAATTTTTGGAGATCTTGTTGCAAGTGAAAGTAGAAATTTAAAATCACCCGAATACCAACGTCAACTAAAATTAACCATTCAGCGTGCTATAGTTCAATTTTCCGAACTCGATGTTTCTTCTCCGTCAACAAGTGGTAACTCTTCATGCTTATCATCTAGACCCCAATCGGCTGCATCGTATTATATGTCATTTGTAGCAAACACACAAGAAGATAATGTGAGAGGTACTTAACATGTATATCTGTTAATTAAATAAACCGTTTACCGCTGAAATGCTGCAATTTTGACAAATAAGGATTTGTCAGCAATTTAAATTTACAGTAATTTCTTCTTCATCACCCTAAATATAAAAAATTGTATAGAACTTTATCGGAGTCATAATCAGACAGAAAATTGAACAAACCATGTTAGTAAAAAAATCTAACCTTTAAATATTTCTTTTTCAGAACATCGAACAATGCACTACAACACTCAGGAACAATCGCCGCAATCGTTCATACAGGGATTCGGAATAAGTACATTAACGAATGATATGAATCACCTGCAACAATTACCCTGAATGAGACTACATGTAAAAATATATTTTATATAATATACTGAACATACCGTTTAATAAATATATATTTGATAATCTGTATAACATTATGTCCTTACCTGTTGCTAAAAATCTTAATGTCAAACAGAGCCGTTCACTAGCGGTAATAGCACAACGCATTTGTGTATCACGTTTGCTGATGCGTGGTCCAACTAATTTTAAAAGATAGTCAAAATTAGTCTTTGACATTCGCAAAAAATTGTCAAGTTGTGAAGGGTCTTCTATTCTCAATTCGGAGAACAATGTTTCGTACATTCCGTCTTAGTACCCATTCTCTTGCCCATATTTTCTTTTTTTTTCTTAGTTTTTTATTTAACAAACATAAAACTGTATATGCAGCTGCATATCTAGTTTCTTAGGCAGACATTTTCAATAATAAATGTTCCTCCAATACACTCACGAATGCAATGAAATACTTTTGTACAGACAGAGCAAGAGTTACAATATAAGTGTAAACATACAAGACATATTTTTCGCAAAAATACCCGACATTTTCTCTCGAGACCAGTTGCTGAAATAATTTGCGAGAAAAAAATGCCGTAGTGTAAACAGTCGGGCAAGTTTATGTAGCAATAAATGTCGCAATATTATTGCTAATGTACACGAACCTTTATAAGTTGCAGTTAGCACAAAAAATATTGCCAACTGACCGTCCGCGTCGCTTGGAATACGCCTAAACAGTCGCTCGCATGGTTGATGCTGAATCTGATTTATGGAAGCAAATTGTGATGACCGACGAGGTCCGTTTCACCCTCTCTGGCGGCGTTAATAAGCAAAACTGCCGCATTTGGGGGACGGAAGATCCACATGACATCGACGAAATGCCGTTGCATGTCCGGAAAGTGACTGGTCCGGCGTTTGCGCCAAAACCATCATTGGGCCATTTTTCTTCAACGAAAACGAAACAGTCGATGGAAATCGATATCGGTGGATGTTGGCTCATTATGTCTGCCCACAAATGCGTGAAAAAGGTCTTGATGGTTACTGGTTTCAACAAGACAGTGCGCCATGCCACACTGCAAATGAACCAATCCAGTTTCTGCAACGAAAATTCCCTGGACGTCTGATGTCAAAAAGAGGTGACATTGACTGGCCACCCAGGTTTCCAGATTTGACCCCATCGGACTTCTTTTTGTGGGGTTGTTTGAAAATTCAAGTTTACGCCAGCAAGCTCCAGACCACTGAAGAACTCAAGGCAAACGTTCGTACCGCAATCGCCGCTATACCACCAGAGATGCTCGAAAAAGTAATGGAATAAAGGTGGCCACTTGATAGATGTTGTGTTCAAGTCAAAATAAATTGTAAAGGACCATATTTAATAAAAATAACCGATATATAAAAATCAGTTTTTCGTTTTCAAAGTTATTTCATGTTTACATACCGACATAAAAGATAGCGCACCCTGTATATTTTTAATCAATGAACAGGAGCTAAATGTCGAAGCAATACATACTATAAAACACGGATCAGAATCAGTCACATCAATTTATTCATGGCGAGACATTTAGGGTTGCTCACAGATAAATGTCAGGCGATCACGTGGTTATTTTATATCCTTTCTACTACTACTACTGTATTTAGTCACATGCTTCTGAACCTACAAGTATCATGTTGTTGAAATGGGCTACTACCCAAGAAAAAGTAATCTATGTTTGTCAAATTTTAGTAATTATATCCTTAAATGATGTCCCCTGAAGTTGAATGGTCTTGAGTCCTTTGTCAAAAATTGGGAACTACATTCCAAACTAGGGCACTAATAGACCTTTGATCAAGAGGTTAAATTGGTAGATTCAAAACTACAGAAAGAAGAACTTAACAAATTCTTGACAGATTCAAAGGTTATAGCTTACCCAATGTTAACCCCCCTTACTGATTTTTGATGACTGTTCGGTTCTCGTTTTTTTTATTTGCGACGGGCGTGCTAGTTTCTTCAGTCATACTTGAATCTAGTTTAGAAGATTTCTAAAAATTTAAACCAGAAGAAGCCTAATGTTTATAGGCATACCTTACAGTACTACCGGGTTATTAAGAGACATTCACTATCATTTCTTTCGTTTTCATTCATTTTTCTAATGCGCGTGCGCTTTCAATTGAGAGGTATTGTAACTGTGCGTCCCGTTCAATATTCGGACTCTGTAATACAGCACATAATTTTGAAATGATCTTTCCTTCTCTATGACACGTTTCAGAAGATATTCGAGATGGTCGATTTAAAACTCGCGACCATGTCATACGACGTTGTTGAGCGACACAAATCGCATGCATATATGGACTCCAACACTTAACACTTAATGAATTCAGTAGCAATGCCCGAAAGAAATCATAATATAATTTAGAATGAAAACTCATACTCTGTATGACAGCAGATTAGAACGAATGAGTAAAATAATATTATATGTCCAGATTCGAAATTTTTGTGCAATAATGCATGTCGTTATGAACGTATTAACTCATCCATCATGGTTGAGATCATGGAAAACATATAAATTACCGAATTGCAGAAGAATATGTGAATATTCAATTTATAATACACGAGTAGAGTATTTTTGTGGATAAATATCAACCAGTTATTGATGAACGCATAACAAATTTAATCAATATGGAATTCGGCTGAACGTTTATCCCCGTTTCACATCCACTCTATTATATAGGATTTTCGCTCATCGACACTTTCGTGAATTATCGTTGAAAAAGAATGCGGCGGGAAAAAGCTGTTCGTGTCAGCGAAATAACAGGAATCCAGTTTTCCAACTGTTTCCCTACTCCCTCAGTTTGTTGTTGCTTTTCAGTCGTTCATCTCTCAGTGTTGTCAATTTTCAGCTTCTGGATGATACGCGTGAGGCAGAAAAAATTATGATAATGGAATTTACATATCTTTAACAGAAGTTCTAGAATAGAATTGTTGTTCCGCACATTTCGTTGCAATATGACATGGCAAAGTACCTGTACAGTCCAACTATTCAGGAAAACCTGTCAGGCTTGTACCACTTGCTTTTTAATCTCACAAATATTCTCCTGGAAGGACTGGAAGAAGTTTTGGAGGAAGAGAGAAATCCTGGAAAAAGGATATTGTGTCGAGAATGGCTTACACGGAGAGAAAGTCAAGGAGCTTCCACCAATTCAATGAGGAAGCTGGGATTTGAAGATCCTAAATAATACAGAATGATGCTCAGAACGACTGCTGAAAAATTTGGCTATTTGTTAGGCTTAATAACTCCATTAATCCAACGAGAGGACACTATCATGAGAGACGCTGTCAAACCAGAAACAATGTTGGAAGTAACCTTGAATTATCTAGCAACTGGTAATAATTACGAACCCTTTCTCATCTCTTCCGAGTTTCTAAATCAGCGATATCTATCATGATTCCCATTGTTTGTGAAACTGTGTATGATTGCTTAAAGGATTTCGTAAAGGTATGTGAATAGATAATAATAGAACATTTTTAAAATTTTATTTAGGCTTCTTAATAAGAAACAAATAAATTCAATTGTAACATTTAGTTTGTCAAGTTCCATGCGCGAGATAATGTCTCCGGTAGCAGCATCATCATTAGCAACTGTGTCCTCGTTCTTGACCGGGCAATTAGTGCTGTATGCAGGAGTAGTTGCAGAAGGCGAATCCCAAGAAAGGGTTGGTGATTGAATTGCAGTTAATGCGGAAGCCTCAGAAGCAGAACTGCTCTTATTCAACGCATTCAATCGATGTTTTTGTACTACTCTTTGAATTTCACCTTGCGCCATGATTGACCTCTGCAACAGCTGCGGTTAGTGCTTCTATCCGTGTTTTTTTATTTTTTGATCCTGCTTCTACTTTAGAACCTGTTTTACCATTCGATTCTACTCGGGAGCATGTTTTGCTGGTCGAAGGTCTTATAGAGGTTTCTCATTTGCCTAATGATAAATTTTTATTTTTTGTCTATTTTTTCGGGTTCCTGATACACATGATGCATGGAAAAAAGTTGCGAATGGGTTTGAAGTAAGATGGAATTTTCCTTTCTGTTGTGGTGCCATTGATGGCAAGCATGTCTTGGCCGAGGCTTCCCCACATACTGGAAGTGAATACTTCAACTATAAAGGCTCTGTTCTTCTTATTTTAAAGTAGGGACAAAGGGATCTAACTCAGATGGTGGTATTTTTCAAAACAGCGAAATTTCAGGAGCCCTAGAAGAAGGATTACTACCTGATGGTTACTTTTTAGTTGATGATGATGCTTTTCCACTAAAACCCTGTCTATTTAAACCATAAAGTAGATACCGATTACCTCTTACCTATTTCCAATTATCAGTTTATTCGTGCCAGAAGAATAGAGGAAAATGGTTTTGGAATCTCGGCAAGTAGATTTCGTGTTTTTGAAACAAAATTAAAGATAAAAGTTGCCTCGGTGAATGAACTGATTGGTGCTGCAATTGTAATTCACAACTAGCTACGGAAAACGTCACCAGATCAATACTTCAATAATGCACAATTGGTTGATTGCGAAAACCAACACACTGGCGAAATAATACCTGGACAGTGGAGACAAGAAATACGATAACGATAAACATACAGGGGGGGTACCTGAAAGGAAGGCGTCGGAGATAGCAAAACACATGCGAAAGAAAATGAGGGATTATTTTATTTCTGAAGAAAGAGCAGTGCCTTGGCAACGAAATTTCATAAATTAGTTACCAGTTATTAAAAAAAATACACTTTTTGACTTCCTATCCTTTCGTTTCATTTTCAGCTGTGTAGCTATCCATTATTTCTTCCATTTGTCGGAACCACTTGACAGTTGGAACGTATATATCATTCGGTTTACCTCCTGATTTCTTAGACTTGTTAACCTTCAACGCTTCCTAATTATAGGTTGTTCTCATTATCTTTATTTTTTGCTTTGATTCTGCCACCCCAAAACCTTCCTTGTCCTGATGTTCTCTTCAGCTGCTTTTCGCATGTTTTTATTGCGATAATTTATACTACTCTTCCTCCATAAACACTCTTTTGCATTATAGAGATCAACAAAATGCATGTTTCTTGTTCTGACCACTTCATGTTGTACAAATTCAACCTTAATTCACAATTTGTAGTATACCAAAATCACCAAAATTATTTGCTTATCTGAGATCAAAATGGGTAAAAAATCTGAAAAAACACAGAGTAAAAATCCACAATCCATGCGCAAAAACTTATTTACTCTTGCTTTTTCTGTTTACATTGGTAAAGTAGACGGTCAAGTTGGCGATCTAGTGAAATGGGGGTAGCAGTCAAGTAAAGTTACTTGTTCACCGTGCAGAATCACTTGACTTGCCTCGTCACTTGACACAAGTCGCTACTTTACTTGACCGAAGTTGTTTAGACGATGCAAGTAGAAAAAAATACTTGACTTTACTGCTCAACTCGACCGTTTACTTGACCCGTGTAAACACGGCTTAAGCATTGGTTATTCCAATGAAAATTCAATTCAACCGCTTCGGTTCCTATGATGAGTTGGATGCACTTCCACTTCCTCAAGGCCAAACCTCTCTGCTGTTTCTAATCACTCGGAATTCATCAATTCGAATAGTTCTGTGGGACTTCTTCAAGAACCAGGCGTCAAATCTGATTGACTAGACGTTAAGAACTTCTAATTCAGTAGTCGGATGTAGAATGAGATTGTTGTGTAATTCGTGTCAGTTTCTACCTGCTTTCTCCTATTCGTGATTATACCTAATACCCGTTGCTGACGTTGTTTTTAAAACCTTGACGTGCAACTTTCGTCCCTGTCCTACGTACATCTTGGTTCTTTTAATATCCTTCCTTTTTGTATAGGTCCCTGATTGATGTATGTTAGTTAAATTACTGCCACCGAAAAACTTGTTTTTAAAAAAAACTTTATTTTGGTTAACGGTACAAAAGGACTTTTGTGAAACCTTGTCACGACGATGCGTAAAACAGGACGGTTAGACAAGAAGTGACAAGATTTCCTCACACATGGATTTAGTACAATGCAGTAGAAATATAGTCTGCTGATACAGAGCATGTTTTCATGTGACCTTCAAGGCGCGAGATAAGATTCCATAGCGTAGCGACAATGCTAGCAAGATATACAAGTACCAGGTAATAATTATAATATTATATAAAATACAGGGTGATGATGGATATAACTTGTATGAGCACCAACACTATATTGGTAGAGACGGATAATGCAATCTTATTTATTATGAATGTGAGCATGTTTATACCACCTTCGCGGCTGAATGGGTTAACAACCTAAGCCCATTAATTAAATGAAAAATAGCGTCAGGTAGATTGACTATATACTTCCCACGCCTTCGAAACAACTTCTAGTAGCTGAAAACAGTTTTCAGTCGACCCGCCAAGCCGAGCACCTTGCTCTCGCCGACAACGCCACTGAAGATGGCTACCGCAGATGCATCCGAAAGCTCTGGACCAAATCCAACCCGACCACGGCTAAACAGTCCGAAAAACCTAAATTACAATTATAATTTATTTAATTAAGGCTGTTTACAGGGGAGTTGGTAACTATCCTTGGACTCGACCCATACTTAGAGAGACACCCTTTTCAATGGAGTAAATATTTTACTTTGCGAGCCAATTTAATTTACGTTCGTAGCGCCGCAAGGTACTCGGGCAAGCCATATCATTCTGTTTTGAGGAGTTGACCGTACCGTGCTGTGCTGCTGATAAGTCCGAAGCATTTGCGCTATTGGACCGTAACGTTCCATCCCCTCGCCTAATCCCGGATTTCTTGGCTGTTCTTTTCTTCTGATGACTCTCGCAGTTTAAGAGTCGTCCCTCTGACCTCACATTTCTCACTTCCTTAATCCATATTTGATGGTGCCGCACGAAAAGTTGTTTCATATTTCACGGCGCGATAAAAAATGTATTTCTCTGACATTTTTTCCTAGTTGGATGCTTCATTCTCATTCTGCTGGGAAGCTCATTTCTTGGAGAAAGTCTGTTTGTCGTGAAAATGTTGGATTATTTTTTTATCATCTAAAAGAAAAGCCTGAAAACAGATTCCAATAAGCCTTTGTTGAGCTTGACTGATCTAGTTCTCTTTTTGTAATTTGTAAAAGGCTTTCCAGAAGCGTGAATGTCAGATATAGATATTGTAAAATTGCACAGTACGTGCTATAGCCAAGGCCACAAGGGCCGCAATCAATTACATTCTTCCGGATTGTTATTTTGTATAATTTTCAAGTGAGCTTTGAGGAAAGCAAATTATAATCTCAGTACTATCATTATCCTGTGACGTTGAATCCTCGTAGTTAGTCCTTTGCATAAGTTTTGTCAAGACACCATTCTATGCTGAATAACTCAAGAAGGATGCGTAAATTGCGGTTTTTAGTTAGCCAAACCGCGAGACAAGTTCTCATTCAAGGGAACAATTAATATGCAGTAAGTCAGAAACTGTAATCACTTAAATTTAGTTGTTCAAGTCACGACATACTGCAGGAGCACTTCCAGCAGACTGTCTAGGTTACCAAAATCCAGTCAGATATGCAATCTGCACTCTACCACCCAAATAAAGCCAAGATGTGCCTTTGCACTACCGAAACTTACAAATTGAAACTGCTTTCATAGTCGCTGTGTATCTCACTCTCGCTCTCACACACACACACACATAAACACTCTGTTTTGCAGGTAACTGTGAAAAGTCTTTCGGTTCTCCCAGATTCTTTGAAGTTCATTTTTCATTTCACTAACTAAAAGATACATATCATTTTTGGCAATAGAAAGCGGAAAGTTGTACGTAGCCTCATTTTGGCCCTTCAACACAAAGTTCATCATACCTTTTTTCGTGCATAGGCTTCTATCATATCTTAAATAAAAGATCTTAATGAAAACAGTTGATCCGAAAACGACTTTTTAATAGACCATAGAAGAATGAATTCTCAAAGAGGCTAAATAGTTGATTACTATCTGCATTTCGTCAGAAAATATGACTTACATCGTCGTAAAACGTCGGGGCAGGGCCCATGAAAATTTGACCATTTAAAGCCCATTATAATCAGCGGAAAACTCCAATTAGAAAAAAAGGTTTTAGTTTGTCAGGTGACCTTAATATGCATGTAGTTTTGAGTCAAAATAGCAGGTATATACAGGGTGTCCCACGTAGAACAGCAGCGATCGATTTCTCAAAAAGTTGGCATAAGACAGTTATTAAATTTGGGTTTATAGTACAACCGATGGTTGTAAATTAGTTAAAGTATTTTCAAAAGTGTAGCACTGTTGCACCGGAAGTAGATACCAACCTGCTTGTTTTAAAAGAAACACCTTGTATATTATTGATGTTTGTTTAAAAATAAGCGACCAACCGTTATAATTGGAGAGCAGATCCCAAAAGTACTCGTTTTTTATACGGCTCGCACCTATTCCATAATAGATTATGGCTGCTTTCTCTGTAGGTGAGCTACAAAAACCTAGCTTAGAAAGACATATACGACTCAATTCAAAGCTTTGTGTCTCGTATTAAATTTAAACTGCACGGGTCCAGTATGTTAATTGTCGTTATATATAGGCCACCACATTGCTCTATACCTCAAGCCATCCAGTGTTTAGAAAATCTTATCTCATTTTTCACTTCCCAATATGATAACATTATATTCTTGGGCGATATGAATGTCGACTTGCTTGCTCATAACAATATCCTCAGCAGCTGTTTTAATTCATTCAATTTCATTCAAGTCATTGATGAGCCTACACGTGTTACAGCCTTCAGTTCCACATTACTTGATCCAATTCTTGTTAGTGACAATACTATCGTCAAAAGGTCAGTGATACTCAATGCAGACTCAATTAGTGATCATCGGCTCACTTACACGTTAATTTAGATTCGGCCAACATCAGTGATTACTGTAACAAACACTGGTTGAAGATCAATCCTAATAAAACTACTGCAATGTTGTACTGTTCGAAGAACTTCTACCGTGAAATGAAGCAGAGGATTTGTGTTGTTTTGGATGAGACACTCATCCCTTTTGTGGATTACGCCAAGAATCTCGGTGTTACCCTTGACTTAAATATGAGATTCGATCGTCATGTCTCTTTCTTATCTATAGTAACGTATATGCGTTTGAAACTCCTCTATTCTACTCGATTCATCCTGAATTTTAAAACCCGAAAAAAGCTCGCCGAAAGTCTTGTGTTGTCTGTCATTTCTTACTCTCTTGTTCCTTATTACCCATGTTTAGACTACGTCCACAAAAGGAAACTCCAGAAAATTCAGAACAGCTGTTGCAGGTTAATTTTTGGATTGCGCAAGTTAGCCGCGTCTCAGATAAAATCAAAGAACTCAACTGGTTGCGAATTGATAAGTTATTTTTATATCTTTTGACCGTCTTCACGCATAAAGTTCTATTATCTAACAGACCAGCTTACCTCGCTAGCAAATTAGTTCACCGTGGTAGTTTTGTTACCAGAGCTCTTAGGTTTAATGTTAATTTTAACATGCCTCCTCACAATACCTCGGTCTTTGAAAGAGGTTACACCTACAATGCAGTCAACAGTGGCTATCGATCCAAACAGATTGCTTCTTTTAAGAAATTAATGAAAAGTCAGCTGTTGGAGTTCATTTAGTTTAGTTTTTCTTGTGCTCATGTGCTTTTTTGACTATTTTCTACTATTTTTGTTTCAAATTTGAAACTCTCACAATACTATATGCATTTGTCTCGTTTTGGTATGTTATTACTTTGTTTATGTGTTTAAGTAATTTTTTTTCCTGTTTTGGGATGGGTGTAACAGTAGCCGTCTGCCTAAGCTTCGCCTCATTATGTAAAGGCATTATTATTATTGAGAGCACTAAGATCGACTACTTCTTTCGCCCTTCTAGCCGAATACAACGAATCACCGCTAAATTAGAGATCAATATTTCTGGCAGGAAACTTCATAATAAAATCTAACATACAACATCAAAGTACACTAGCTTGGAAAATCGCAGAATAATCCTGT